TCATCAATCAATCTCTCTCTCTCTCTCTCTCTCTCTCTCTCTCTCTCTCTCTCCCTCGCCCCCCAGCCAGCAGCCCCACAAGTGAAGCATGTCACAGGATGCTCAGGGGTTGCTCTAGGAAGGTGCCAAATGACACCATCACTTTCCCCCCTTTGGTGCCATCACTTCTTCCTCCTCTTGCCCAGGAGAAATCAGAGTTGACGTGAATGAAAACTTTGCCACTTCCTGAGTTGAGGTCTAAACCCTGGGCAAAATGCACATACTTCAAGTTTCTCTGATTCTTCTATAAGGTCTCTAAAGTTTCTATAATGAAACGTCATAGGACAAATAAGACAAATTCAAGCAACGGGACCATTTCACTGATATCCACTCACCTGGGCCGCAGCATCCGACTCATTATTGAGGGAATAAGGAGAGGATACGTACCCAGCAAGCGGAGGAGGAGGAAAAGAACTCCCAGCGCGTAAGACTTGAGTTCAGGGCTGACTGTCCTACGTGCGCAGCGATGAGGAGGCAAGAGAGAGATTATCATCACTCCACGCAGTGGTTCTCAACCTTCCTAATGCCGCGACCCTTTCATACAGTTCCTCATGCTGTGGTGACCCCCAACCATAAAATTATTTTCGTTGCTACTTCATAACTGTAATGTTGCTACTGTTATGAATCATAATGTAAATATCTGATATGCAGGATGTATTTTCATTGTTACAAATTGAACATCATTAAAGCATAGTGATTAATCACAAAAACAATATGTAATTATATATGTGTTTTCCGATGGTCTTAGGCGACCCCTGTGAAAGGGTCGTTCGACCCCCAAAGGGGCCGGGACCCACAGGTTGAGAACCGCTGCTCCAAGGTAATTAACAGGCCCTGAGAGCCACGCGCTGGGCCCAGCAGTGCCCTTCCTAGGAAAGTTATCTGGGTTTTTCCCTCCACTTTCCCTGCCTCGAGTCTGGAAAATAATGGTAACTGCAGTGACAAGATAGGTTTTTAATAAGCGGAGCTCATCTTGTCATGAAGACAGAATGCAAATCGGGCCCCTTCAGGCTTCACTGGAAGGCGCCTCGCCTTGGCCAGGACAGGGAAGCATCTCAGGGTGACAGGCCCCACGTACCCGGGAACGTCCCCTGGGAAGACGTTCGCCCAGTGGCTCAGGCCAGAACCACGACACGGGGTCACTCTCAGGCCCTTTGAGAAATCAGCGGGACTAGCACGACTTGGCCCCGGGCGGCCCAGGGCGGTTAATCCAACTCTCCAGTTTCGGTACCTGCCCACCCCCCTCACCTCCAGGAAAGGCACCCGACAGCGTCATGCTTCCACGTTATGGACAGTCCCCACCTCCCTGGCTTGGGCTCCCAGAACAGTCCCTGGAAAGATCTCTCACTTTCTGAACCTCAGAGTGCCGTTCTCTGGGGAAACCTCTCTGTACCATTTCAGCGAGGAGCTCGCAGGCCCGCTCTGCAGAATGTGCAAGGCACACAACCCAAGCTCTTCACGCTGGGACCGGCTCCCTGGGTCCTATTTTTGCACATTCATCTGAGGGGACTGACTCTCTCCCGTGGGCCCTGCTTCTACGTGTGGTGTGAGGCCAGTGGGACCGATTCCCAGCAGCCTCGGACGGGCGGGGAGGGGCCGTGAGGCGGGTCACAGGCCCGGGGGCCTTACAAGCTCACCTGATGAGGATGATGACCGAGGGCGTCTGGGCCATGGCCCCGATCATGCTGCAGACACACATCACGCACAGGAAGGTGAGGAAGGCCTCTTGGCAGCCGGGACTGGGGCACTTGCCGGGGACCACGGTGGCGTTCTCGGGCGGGCCGGTCAGGCACGCACAGCCCGTGAGATTCTGAAAGGAAGCAGCCAGCCCTTCTCAGTGGCACCGCCAGCGCCTCCATCCCAAGCCATCCATCAGCTGGAGCTGCGCAGCCCCATTACGCCTCCCGCAACCTCCCATTCATCAGGCCTGAGCAAACGCGTGCGCGTTTTAAGGAGGCTGCAGAACGCACGCAAAGAAAGGCATATTTATGGGGGCAGAGCTGAGCCCCGTCTCCTGTGTATTTCACTTCCCTGCTCGGGGATCCCTCCGTCGGCTGCGCTGTAGACAAACGTGCCCCCTCCATACAATTAGAGAGGAAACTGCGCTTCCACCATACGATAAAACCTTGCCAATTAACACTGTAATTACCTGCCAATTTGTCCACTCCCTCACCGAAGTGTATTAAAAGAAGTAGATCAGGCAACCTGCATCCTGCCGCTGGTCCAGTGCCCAGTGTGGCACTTGGAACAAAGCATGCGCCCTGTCAGGTGTGACGTGGCTGCCATTGTGGGGCCCAGGGAGGGGGGAGCTCAGGGAAGGTTCTCGAGGGGCCAGAAGGCAGAGAGGGCTGAGAGATGCGGGAGCTCAGGGCGGTGCTGGGGAGCAAGCTACAGCCCGGGAGCACCCTGATCGGCGTATGATCAGAGGAGGAGGAGGAGGAACAGCCACTGTCGCCCACGTGGCTTTCTGGATTCCATGTGCCCAGCCGCCCAGTCCCAGGCACCGCGCTCCCGCTGCAGGAATTCCTGGTGGCAACGGGAGGGCAGGCTGGGAGAGGCAGTGGCTGGCGAGCGGCAAGCCAATTAAGGCTGGATAATAACAGTGCAGGGCCCTTTAAGGGATGCGGGATGAAAACAATCACAAGCAACGCACTGCTTTCCTTTCCAGAGCCGCTCAGCCTTCAGGGCACATGGGTGCGTCCTCCTGAGGGTCACCCCCACTTTAACCTCCTCTGCCCAGCGCCTCTCTCCTTGCCTCCTTCTTCCCCCTTCTTTTCTTTCCCCACAGAACATGTGACAGGCTTTGCTTATCCCACAATGTTACCTGGATGCTTGCAGGGATGTCCAAAGCCACTATGCCCGCCTCCAACAGCCCCCCTGCCCGCCTCCAACAGCCCCCCTGCCCGCCTCCATCAGGGCCCCCCACCCACCTCCAACAGGGCCCCCCTTTATGACTGTGCCCTGAACAGGGGCTTATCCAGGGGCTGAGGCTGGGGGACACACTGTTGGGCTGGATCCTCTACCCTGAGCAATCTGCCCAGAGCTGGTGCCTTTGTGTGATTACAGCACCAGAACTTACCCCCGAGACAGACCTGCCTGGGCACGAAATGCCCCAAGTTTAACACGAGTCACAACACTGCAAGAGCTAAAGTTCTGCAGCCATCGGAGTGCCTACCTACAGGGGTTGGTTACACAGCCTCTAACAGATTCGCAGTGGAATACTATACAGCTGTCAAAAAGGTATGCGAGTGTTCTCTACGTACTGATATGAAAAGAACTCCACGATAAGTCACTGACAACGAACCCCCACAAACAACAGGTACAGAATAAGACCCTAAACATTAAAACCCAGAAGGATAGCCTGCAAGAAACCAGTAACAGTGTCACCCACTGGGCAGAGTGGGGGTTGAAAAGTGGGAGGCTGAGGTAGAAAGGAGGGTTTTCACGCCCTCCTTTCTATACTTCCTGATTTTTGAACCGTACGAATGTATCATTTCTTTAAAAGATTAGAAAGTCTAGAACTTTAGAAAATAAAGAAACCAACGGACGAAGAATAACACCGTCATTGAGAATCATACGCCTGTGCCACGACTCAGACTTTCATTTCCATTGAGAAATGTTTCTATTCACATCCAATGATGGGGATAAATAATTACAATAAAGCCGAGACCATACAAATAGAAAAATGACTCTCTGGGATCTTGGATTCGTTTCTGCTGCTGAAGGAAGGCAAACGCGTGCTATTTTGACAGCGCGCATTACAAACACAAAATACTCGTCAGCAGTGTCAAAAACACTGGAGAATAAAGTTGTTTTTGTGTGGGTTCCCTGCACATTCAGTACGGATGGATCAATTTCTATTAATCGCACAAATAAACTAATTTCTAGGTTGGAAGATTACTTTTCTAAGGGGACAGCGAAGGGGGAGATGATGTTCTATGTGTTGAGTCTGATGTGAAACGTGGGAAGTGAAGCCTGGCCAGTGTGGCTCAGTGGTTGAGCATCGACCTATGAACCAGGGAGTCACTGGTTCGATTCCCGGTCAGGGCACATGCCCGGATTGCGGGTTCCATCCCCAGTGGGGGGCATTCAGGAGGCAGCCGATCGATGATTCTCTCTCATCAGTGATGTTTCTACCTCTCTCCCCCTTCCTCTCCAAAATCAATAAAAACATTAAAAAAAAAAAACCACAACATTTGGGAAGTGGAGAGTCCCTCCCAACAGTCTGGAATACGGATTTGCTTTTCTTTCCGAAATGCAGTCAGCTGCGAGGAAGGACTGGCAAGCCTTCGTCCTGTATCTGTGTGACCTGCTCCTCACTGAGGCGGCAAAGGGCCGATGAACGGCCTGGACGCTGTCCCGAATGGTACCTGCTCCCCTGTGTTCTAGACGTTATGATTTTGGGGCCAGAGAATGCTCTGGAGTGGAGATCCTCTGGTCTCAGGGCACAGCCTCCACTTAATTCTCCCAACAGGACAATAACCAACACTGATGTGTAATGTAACTCCTTGAATATTAATGACATTGATGTCATGAGGAAG